GTGAAGAAGAAAGGGGGAGAAGATTGGCTACCTTCGTTCTTTGGGGATGGAGGAGAGGCGGAGGACGTGACGCTCAGGAGGCCGGGACGGTCGAGGAGGACAGACAATTCTTCGCTTCTTGGTGACCCTTGAATTTGCTCTTTTCTTCTTCTTCTTTAACTCTGCATATTTGTAGCCTTAGATTTTATCTCTTCTTCTTCTGGCCAGTATTGCCTTGAACGCTTGTATCTCTTGTTACTTCCTTGCCCTAGGATGAACCTAGGGTTCTGAGGGTGCCTTGCCTATACGCCTTTCTGAGATTGATGCCTTCTGAGATGTTTTATTGCCCAGTGATGTTTATACTGAGGGCCTAGGTTGCCTTTGAATATGTTGTTTTCTTCTATGCCCCTGATGCTTTGAGTTGTTGTTGCTGGACGAACTTTCTCTCTTCTTCTCTTGTTGCCTTGAACTTCTGTTGAGTTTGCCTTCTTCTGAATTGCCTAATCTGAAATGTTTCTTCCTCGCCCCATGATGAATCCAAGATTCTGAGGGCTTGAAGGCTTGATGCCTTTTTTGGAGCCTTGAGGCTTTGAAAGGCTTAAGCTTATCTTTTACAATGACTGGCTGGAGTATGCTTGAGGGATTATGTGTTTGGTTATGCTTGACAGGCCTGTAGAGGCTTTTGTTCCTTCTTTTGAACGGTGTAGCGTTTTGTCTGGTTTTAGGATGGGTTTTGTTTTTACTGATGCAGGTTTGAAGCTTGGTTTTGTGATTTTAACAGGGTTATGTGATTTTAGGCTTGAGGTTCTGTTTTGGTAAAGGATGATGCAGGTTTTGAGTCTTGTGTTTTTGCTGATTGTTGGTGAGGTTTTGACAGCAGGTAAGCTTGCAGTAGGTTATGTTGTTGGACAGTATGGTGGTTCTGGTTTAAGGTTAAGCTTCAACATGTTTTTATGTTTGCTTGGCTTGGTTTTATCAGTTTGCAGGTTATGGTGGGTTTTGTGGCCTTAACAGGGTTATCTGATTTTAGGCTTGAGGTTGTGTCTTTGTAAGGATGATGCAGGTTCTGAGTTTTGTATATATTTTTCTCTCCTCTATCCTGCTTGCTGAACCGTGTCTTTGTTCTTTGTGTTATATCCTTTTCTTCTATACCTGCCTCTAGCCTAAAACCTGCCTCTGCTTCTTTATCTCTCTTCTCTTCCATAGTACAGTTTTAAGAATTTTTAAATGATTTTATGCTGTACTTTGTTCTGAAGGGGCCCTTTGGGAAATGATGACTTAGAGATCTTGCTTGCATAACACATTTTTCTCTGCATCCTTTTCTTTCTTTTGACAGCTTTGTGTGCTTTTATTGATATCTTTCCAAAATCTTTGTCAAATCTTTTTATTGGCAGCCTTGAGTAGACTTGTACTTTTGACAGTAAATTGCTCTTTTTTCTTTTAATAGAAAGTGGAATTGGATTTTCAGTTTGACTTGGATTTGAACTATGCAGTTTGAACTTTGGAATTTATGCATTTGACATTTTTAAAAATTATGCATTTTGACATTTTCCATTTATGATAAAAATCTTCCCTCTTTGTGAACCGGGAGAAATCTCGTGATTTGCAGAGAGGGTCAACTGATCCCAGTCAGTGGCCTCTAATGATGAGCAAATTTTAACTGTCTTTTTTAATTCAACTGCTTTCTGACTTTCTCTTTTCTTTTTGCAGATGAATAACGGAGCACCGGAACGAAGTGAAGAATGAAGAGATTAGGAACTTAGGATAGAATTTTATTTTCAATTTAATTTTTGTACACCATTATTATATTAAATACTTCGTAATAAATACTTGTATCCAAATAATAACAATTGTAACAACTATTAAATATGAAATAAAAATTCCATTGACATTTAATTCTTTTCAATTCCTTTTCTTTATTTACTTGTTATTTATAATTCCTTAAATTAAATAAAATGAAAGTTAAATTTCAAGTATTTAATTCTTAGAACCATAAATAATCAACTAAACCTTGTTGATCAAAATAAATGAACTGGACGTCTCCATCATTCAAAGCAACGCACAGTCGAACACAAAAACTGATCAGATGCAATCCTTTCTTACTGATTCTTTGCCAAGCACTGTAATTCCAAACTGCATATTCTTTGACTGGCTCAAACAACATGAATTCAAACCACTGTCACTTTCACTGATTAAATCAAAACAACGCGAATTTTAACCCGAATCTCGGAATAAACTGCAAAGTGCTGTGGAATTTAAATCCTTCTGAGAATATGCCCGTAAAACCTTAATTCCTGATTAAATGCCAAACAACATTCGCCTGATCAAAATTGAGCCAAAATCAACCAAAACCCTAAGCCAACTGTATGAAACAATCCAGAGCTCTGAAAATCAGTAAAAACCCTAATTTTGCTTGACTGTCAAGAAAAGTCCGTTTGTCCGATTCTTGAGCCAGTTTGAATAGTCAGGAAAGGCTTGAAGCTGAGATTTCTTGGGGAAAAATGCGAGGGCAAATTTTGGGGTACAACAGGGTCTAAATATGGTATCTTGGTAGGTTTGAGGTAATTTTTGTGATTTCTTTATTTGGATTGAGAACCTTATCATGTATCTAAACAAATAATTGTTTGAGAGTCTTTATCGTAGTTCATGTGTTTTAATGTTCTAGGTTTTTTTCTAGAGGACTCTGTTTTACACCAATACTGAAAAAATGTAGCATACGCCCAACTAAATAAGCACAATTTTGATGAGGCAACCCCCTAGTGGTTAAGAGCTTCACCCTGTTGAAAGTTAAAGTGGTCTACATATGGGAAAAAACAACAATACAAGGGGAGGCCTACAAACATAACGATTACGAATTCTCATGTTTACTTTGAGGATAATTACTTTCTAGTCAGAGGATGACCACGTAGTTCGACATGCAAACTCCAACTTGTCATTGGTGCAATATAAAGACCAAGATCCAAATAGTTCAGTTTTCTTCCAAGGATATTCTTCAACATTAGCATGGAGTTCTAACTATGTTTTCCCAATTTCCTCATTATTATTCAAAGACAAAAAATGAAGACCACGAGTCTTACATTTATCATGTTCCTCAAACCATCTTGTTACTACCTTAATACTAAATGGACGCTTGAAGTTACACTCTAGATGCCTAGAAAATGTTTTCACTTTGGGGTCACCCATGGAAGTCTCAACAACAATCAGGTTAGCTAGGTTGACGTCTCCAAAACAACAATTATGCATCGACCTATTTCATCTTACTACATATGGGATAAAGCTCTTTATCATGTGGAACAAGGTCGAACTCTCATGATTCAGTGATGGAAGTGACATCATTAAATTTTATGAAGGAGATTCCTACAAATGAGTTTTCTTGATTCTCTATGTTCAAACTCAGATAAAATCTCAGAAATGAAAAAAGATGAAGAAGTAAGTACCTTAAGTGTAAAGTCGTTTGACCAAAGAAATCAAGTGAAGAAACGACTAATCTAACAATCAACTTTAATCTTGAAGCATCCACAAACAAAGACGAAGTAAATTAATTTTTTTCCTGAAGAAGACCTTTGAACGAAGAGAATTTAAAAAACATGAATGAGATAAAGTTCCCGCTTTATAATCAAAGTAACATCTAGATTCAATAGCCACGATCCACTAGAAGTTCAAAAAAATATCCAACGACCCATATCACATCTTAAAATAGTAAGTACACTTGAGTGTGCCTAGACACATTACCTTCTTCCCTACGCGCATGGGATACATGAAGGTCATCGCTGTAAAAAATAATTGACCAACCCTGGATGCGTTTAATACTCATGTTCCCCATACCAGACACTCCCACTAAACAAGGAGCCTTCGTTCAATGGACGAGATCACCATAGTTTAGACTCCAGTTCCGAATTCATATATTCTTATATTAACAATCTCCACTTCATGGTTGACAAGAACGGTTTGGAGACAACTGTTCTAGGCTGATCCACGACCCATAAAACAACAAACTCAATCCTTATTGGCCCAATTTTTTTAGAAATTTTTCGCGCTACCACACAGGTGGACTTGTCTCGCGCTTCACCACACATGAGCGCACCTACCCTTCATTATGAGTGAGTGTATCATCATCCAACGACCACTCGTGCTTCAAGTCAGACGACAAAGAGATAGTTACAACGGTCTATCTTAAATAAATGTGACTTTGAATCACACCCATATACAGTTCATTACACACTTGTAAAATTTCACATCAATCTATTATTAATGTAAGTGTCAGAGTGCTAATATTTTTTGCAAGTGTCTTTCTCGTTCACTAAAAAATCGTCACAACCCCACCAAAAATATCCAAAATGACCTCTATCAGCGTAGCAATCACCTTTTGTTCATGTTAGCTCTGAAATCTAAAGTTTTTGTTAAAGTATGGTATGAAAATGTGTTTATCTATACATCTTTCATCTTAGGAGCGCATTAAAGGGTTGGGCTTAACTAAACTCAAATTTAAAATTTTTAATAGTTGATTATTTTTGTGATAAAACGGTACTATTCACTAAAGGAAAATTTTATCATATAATTGTAAGGGAGCTAAAAAAAACTAAAATGAGAATGTGCTTAATGTAATAGAGATGAGAATGTTAAAATTATAAATGATAATTAATAACGTTAGAGGTTATTTGGAACTCTTGCGTAAGAGTGATAGTTGAGATTGCCCCGGGGGTATAAAAGATGATAGAATTTTGACTTTGGTTGTTTAGGCAAGTGTGAAGGAGATTTATGCTATGTTTGATTCCATGTTGGCTTATATTTTCTAGCGTACCTAATTCAATTGTAGAGTTAGTTAGGCGAACGTGTGGTGTCATGTGCTTTGTTTATTACCAAACACACTTGTATTGCACTGCTTTTTGGTGATACAATTTGAAGTCACTTCATTTACAAGAAAAAGACACAGTAAACAAACATTCCCTTGAATGCATCACATTAGCTAAAAAAAAAAAAAGTAAAAAGCACATGTCGATTTTCCATTTTTAGAGCCCATTCTAGTAGGTCAAATGAACACTCATCCTCAACAATGTCTCAGCACCATCAGTAGCAATCTGTCCTGGTGGAATAAGAGGTCTCAGCTCAGCAAACCCCCTCGCATTCTTGAACTTCCCCGTGCCCCCTATAACCGATAATCGCGACATGGTACTTCCTATCTTATACAAACCATAAAAGTTCAAGCTATCTCCATATTCCCCTCCTTCAAATAAAGCAGTGAACACCATCATCTGTCTACTCCCATCTGCAGAACTTGCCACATAAACACCTTGAGCTTTTCCAACTATTTGGGACCCTAACTCAGGTTGAGATGTAAGTATATCATCAATAACAGTAATTGTACCAAACCCTAATCCAAGTCCATCAGGTCCTAACTGCATTTGAACATTGTTTTGGTTGTTATTATTGTTTGGTGCAAAGGAAGTACCGGCTAAACCAGTTCCTAACGGGATACCGGTAACGCCATTGACAGTTGGATTAGCACCATTGGCATTAGGGATGAGTGTTCCACCTGCTGGAGTGTTGAATCCAATTGGAGTTGCAAAGGGGACTTGACCACTGTATATGTTGCCGAGCAAACCGGTGACCGGTCGAGCCGTTGGGTTGCTTCCACCAAGAATGTCATGCATGTATAACTCAATAATTGGTTCTTTCCCTGTGGCTGCAATAGGGTTAACTGCTGTTATAGATATTGTCAAATGAGACAAGGCAACCAACATTGCCAAAGGAACTATAGTTAGATATCCCATAGTCATGTTGTTTCAATGTTTTTCAGATGTAGAAACTGATTTGAGTTTTATGGTAATGAATCTTGGTTTGGATGAGTGGAATGGAATGCAAGTTTTGGTATTATATATAGGAGAGAATAAAGAGTGTATTGAAGTGGTTGTGAGAAATGGATCATACTGTAGTTGTTGAGTTTTTTCTCTTTTTCTGTTCTGACTTCTCAGAATAATGTGAAGTGGTGCAAGTACAGCTAAACCAATATCTTAAGTCAATTGCTATAATAGTATTTTATATACTTATTCTATTTTAAGTTTTTTGGGCACCATTTTGATACAAATACTTACACCAAATATAATTTATCGTACTTATATAATGAATAATTTTTGTGCTCATCTAGAGTAATGTGCTCCAACACCCCATTTGTGTTGTTGACCTTCATTTGCTTTAGAGCATTCTAAATATTGTGGGTTAGCAATCAAATGACCACGTTTGATCCTTGATCCTCAACAGTGACCACATAGAAAAGAAACGAGAGGCCGCAGTCATATAACTCATTGTGAGAGGGTTATATGACCCGCCGCTGGATTAGAAATAAGGAATTGAATAGCAATGAAAAAGTTGAAGTTATTCATTTCACTTGGAGCATGGAAGGAAACACCTTCACTAAATTTACTTAATATAAATTTAAAGTTGTCATAATTACAACTTTCATAATAACCTTAATTCTAATTATTTATGTAACATTTTCTCTAACATCTATTGTCTAATAATATTTTCTTAAAATATTCAATATTAATTTCCAACTCTAATTACTTACGTGTAAAATAATATATAAATAATAAATTAAATAAATATAATATAATATTAAAGTAATATAATTAATAATAATAATATAGTAATAAATATTAATATAATATTCATCTAATAATAATAACAAATAATAAGAATAATGCTAATAAGAATTTTTTCAATGAACATTTTTTTTTTAATTTAAGACATTAAAAACTTCAAAACTCAAAAAAATACTTTTCGATTTTAAAATAAATTATTAAAAATATATATACTGATACAAGTAAAAATAAAAATAATGATAAAATTTAAATTTAAACTTTTAAAAAGTTATTATTATTACTATTACAATAAATAAAAATAATAAAAATATTTACTATATTACTATTTATTTATTATTTATATTCTATACATCTACTTATTCATATTTTATTAATAATATTAATAACATTTATTATATATCAATTTCTACAAATAGATGTTTCAGTCCTTATTACACATTAAAGACTTATAAACTTTAAAAAATCATCATTATTATTATTATTATTATTATTATTATTATTATTATTATTATTATTATTATTATTATTATTATTATTATTATTATTATTATTATTATTATTATTATTATTATTATTATTATTATTATTATTATTATTATTATTATTATTATTATTATTATTATTATTATTATTATTATTATTATTATTATTATTATTATTATTATTATTATTATTATTATTATTATTATTATTATTATTATTATTATTATTATTATTATTATTATTATTATTATTATTATTATTATTATTATTATTATTATTATTATTATTATTATTATTATTATTATTATTATTATTATTATTATTATTATTATTATTATTATTATTATTATTATTATTATTATTATTATTATTATTATTATTATTATTATTATTATTATTATTATTATTATTATTATTATTATTATTATTATTATTATTATTATTATTATTATTATTATGTGTCAGTTACTATTATAATTATTATTATTATTTCAGCTACTAAACATGAAATTAGTAGCAATTATTATTATATTTCATATCACAAAGTAAATTTTTTCCAAAAACAAAATGAAATCTCTCTCTTATTTACAACTTTCTTCATTTATAGGTTAGAGTAATACATTTATAAATTATACCTGATCGCACAAATTCAGGAGAGAATTGAAGTCTCTATATAATTTTGATTGATGAAAAGATTTATTTTTATTTGTGTATATAATTCAAAATTCTCTATATATATATATATATATATATATATATATATATATATATATATATATATATATATATATATATATATATATATATATATATATATATATATATATATATATATATATATATATATATATATATATATATATATATATATATATATATATATATATGTTTATTTTTCATTTTATCTCTGAATGTTATGGAAAAATTTATGCAATTGTTAGAAAAAATCTAATATTACATTTTAAAGAAAAAAACGTAGAAGGTTCGGCGTATGTTTTTGAAAAAAAATTGGTTGCTCTAAATGATTTTTCATTCAAAACAACAAACCATAAATACAAGATCAATTTAATGGGATCTACAAATATTTTGAAAGTAAAATGACTCGAGATAGCTCTTCAACATTTTGAATTTATCTCTTTTATCAATATTTTATCATCTACCAAGGAGGATAAGTTATTTGGTGAGATTTGTTGAAATATTAAACTAGATTTGTTAAAATATTAGATTTGATTAGATTTGATATTTAAATATAATCCAAGTTGTGTAGACACATACCTAATTAGGGTTGTATATAAATAGTCCTAGTTTGTATCATTATTTGTACAATTCAATAATATAAATCTTTATTTCCTTTATTATTCTCTCTTTCTCTCCTCACTAAAGTGCCTCACGCACTAACAAATTGGTATCCAGAGTTTCTGGTTATTATTCTTGATCGAGTTTTCAAGAATTTCACGTCAGAGATCGTGTTTCTAGGGCAAGTGAATCAACCGCTACGAAGATGGCTAGTGATAAGGGCATTCCGAATTCTTTTCCAATGGCTGACATAAAGAATTGAATCCGATGGGGAAAAAATGCAATCCTTGTTTGGCTTCCATAAAACCCTAGAAGTGGTTACCGACATTGTTCCTACGTTGACTGCAAATGCAACCGACAAACAGAAAAAAGCCCATAACAAAGTCAAGAAGAAAGATTGCAAGGCTGTTTATTGCATTCAGATGGCGGTCGATGCTGCTAATTTTGACAGAATCTCTCATGTTGAAACGACGAAGGAGGCACGAGATATTCTGGTGAAGTATTACGAAGAAGGTGCGAAAGTAAAGGTTGTCAAGTTATAAACCTTACGTCGACAATATGAGTTATTATCGACGGAAGAAGATGAAAAGTTGCAGAATATGTGTCGGAGGTTCAAAAACTCATCCATCTCATGAAGGGTCGTGGTGAAATCATAACCGATAAGATGATAGTTGAGAAGGTAATGTGAATATTGACCTCTTACTTTAATCATGTTATTGTAGCTATTCAAGAATCTAACAATCTTGAAACCACTAAAATGGAAGATTTGGTTGGTTCATCGGAGGCGTATGAGATGAGGATTGTCGAAAGGAAAGGAGTGCAAGAACCGATACAGGCTCTACAAGCTCAATCATGGAAAAAGGATGGTGTTTCCAACAAATTCAAAGGCAAGTTCGACAAGACTCAAGGCAAGAAGTCTTGGTTGAAACCTCACAAACATCAGGTCGAAGATGAAGCTTCTGAATCCTCGAAAAGAGGAGGAGGAAACTATCGAAAGGGAAAATAAGATAAAAAAGGTGTAAAGTGCTATAACTGTGAAAAGTGGGGTCACGTATCCAAGAATTGTTGGTATAAAAAAGACAAGGGATCGACAAGCAAGAACGAAGGAGCGAACCTTATACGCCAAGATTTAGATGATTCTGAAGGTGGTATGGTGGTTATGGCTACAGTTGCAGATAACCATGTCGAATCCAAAATCTAGTTTCTCGACTCAGACTGCTCGAACTACATGACTGGTCGAAAGGAGTGGTTGGCAGATTTTGACGAGTCAAAGAAGAGCAAGGAGTTTTATTGATAATAGTTCGTTACAAATAGAAGGTACTGGAAATATAATATTTTAAATGAGTAATGGAGGGAAAGCTATGATCAAAGATGTTCTTTATGTACCTGGAATAAAGTGCAACTTGTTAAGTGTTGGACAACTAGTTGAAAAAGGTTTCTCAGTTGTCATGAAAGATGGAGTTTTGAAATTGTTCGACACCATGAATAATTTGGTCTTAAAATATTCATTGTCGAAGAACACGACATTTAAGACTATGATCAGTTCGACTGAAGTTCAATGTTTGAAAATTGTTGTTGACCACAAGGATAGTTGGTTGTGGCATTTGAGGTTTGGACATTTGAATTTTCAACTAGCCAATCAACTGATTACTCAAGATATGGTTACTGGAATTCCAAGTCTTGAGATGCATTAAAAACTTTGTGAAGGTTGTTTAGTAGGAAAGCAATCCATAAATTCTTCTGTTTCGACTATGCCAATGAGATCATCTTGCATACTCGAAGTGGTACATTCAGATGTATGTGGTCCATTCGAAGAACATATAATTGGGGGGGAAATATTTTGTTTCGTTTGTCGATGAGTTTAGTTGAAAGCTGTGGATATATGTGTTCAAACAAAAGGACAAAGTATTCAAAATATTTAAGAGATTCAAGATACTTGTCAAAAACCAGAGTGAGAAGAAGATCAAAGTTCTGTGAACAAATGGAGGTGGCGAATACACATCCAAAATGTTTGAAGATTTATGTGTAGAACATGGTGTTGATAATGAGGTGAGTGCTTCTTATACACCTCAACATAATGAAATTGCTGAAAGAAGAAACAAAACCATATTACATACGACGAGATGCATGCTGAAGCAAAAGAATTTGCCAAAGTCTTTATGGGGAGAAGCTGTTTCAACTGCATTTTATATTTTGAATAAGTGTACTGCCAAGATATTTAAGAACAAAGTTCCTGAAGAAGTATGGAGTGGAAAACGACCATCAGTGAGTCATTTGAAGGTGTTTGGCTCTATGTGTTACAAGCATGTTCCTGATGTAAGAAGAAGAAAGCTTGATGACAAGAGTGAACCTATGATTCTGGTAGGATATCATAAAACTGGTGCATACAGACTATTCAA